TTTAATTGTTCTCTCCCTGTCCCCTTAATAGTCTGCTGATTATTTTTATCAAATTTGAAATTTGGAACAACTGATTTTATAACAAATGGTAGAATGTTTGTAGTTAAAAGCAGAGTTGTTTAAAATGCTGTACAGGAAAGGTTATTTCCAAGTTGGTTTCATACTTTGTTGGTCAACTTTTTTTTTTTTTTTTTTTTTTTGTTGATTGCAGTAATCTAGGTACCACCATGGACTTCAAAAAAAAAAAGACCTGGAAAACATTTTGCATTTTGTCTTTTGATGTTAAATTTTGGTTTTATTTAAAAGATAACCTAAAGCTAAATTTAGGTAAATAAAGGTTTAAGGCCTTTTTTAAACATTAGCATGTTCACTTGTAACTAATTGACCAGCTATTATAGACAAAAATAGTAAACATTTAAAATTCTCTTGAAAGTAAAATATTTATTCTAGAGATGTGTTTCAAAGTAAATTAATAAATTTAAGGAATAATTAATTGGATTTTGTAAAAGAATTATTTACTTATTGCTTAAAACATAATGAAAATACTGTTTATTTACACACAGTAGCCTAGTTAAATAACAGTAGTTTTCTCTGACTTAAAAAAAAAAAAAAGGAAAAATTAAAGAAGTACAGAACATGAGCAGTGTAATAATAAAGAATTTGGTATCTATGTTTAAAAATAAATTATTTTAACCTCATATAACCAATAGTTTAAGAATATATTTTTTATTCTGTTGACTTTTATGAAACTTTGGAGAATGTATAACTTTATTTTTTATACATTAGAAGTATTAAAAAAAATGATACTTTTTGAGTTTCATTGCTTTTATTTTTTTTATTTTCTTTCCTGTTTGATGTCATAAAATATTTGTTTTCACCCAATGAGTTTTTTAATTATTCTGAATTTAAAAAGATATTGAATTATCATATATCCTATTACTTTTCTGATAGGGAAGTATCGTCACTCAAAGGGGGTGATTCAGAATTTTCCTTTTTGAACTTGTGTATATATATATATATATATATATATATATAACAGTTGCAAAAATGAAAAAATTAGAATTCTTTTAAAAAAATGGCATTAAATCTTACATTTTTCAAATGGGTCTTTTTTTTTTTAATTTTAGATAAAAAAAAAGACACCTGTTTTGATGTGCCTACTGTAATCACAGAATTTAACTTCACTTTTTCCTTGTAAATCTGCTACAAATTCTATGCTTACTTTTACATAATGAATTTCTTTAAACTTTTTGGTCATCAGTCTTCATTCATTTTCCAGTAATTTTTAATACCACTTTCTTCTCGTATTTTTTTCTTTCCTCTTTTTGTGAATATTCAAACTAGGGAATTTGTTAAAACAAAACCTTTTCCCCGAGGAGTTTAAAAATAAAGTTAGACTAAAAGGTAAATAATAAAAATACCTAATGAATTACTCTGTGTTTTTGTTGAAACCTGATTTCATGCAAGATTTTGAAATTTGTGTGCTTCTGCTTTAGTTAATGTACATTAATGAAATTTGCATAATTTGTTGGGACCAATTCCTGTTGAATTCATCATATTCACTTTTGCACAACTAGGTTTGAATCCACTTCTCCCCCCCCCCCCGTTATGGATTAATTAGTAGGATTTGTACCAATAAATTATCATTTCTCAAAAATTCTTACAATGTAAAAATATTTTCTGGCTTTAAATAAAGTTAAGCCATAAAAAACCTAAATCAATCAATGTTTAGTTATTTTCACCTTTCTTTATCAAATGTCTGCAAATAGCCCACTTAGGGAATTGACTAAGAATTGTGATATATATCCACTTCTCTAAACTGGAAAAAAATAAAATAAATGGATATATTTTTATTTCCCTTTTTTCTCATTTTAATTAAATATACAAAATAAATCTGCAGATAAATGACTTCATAAGAAATACTCATCTATTCCTCATTTTGCCAATCACTTTTTCTCTTTTACTCTTTGGTTTATTGAGTTTGAAACATGGATACCATATCTTTTCACTTGGTAAGGTCTATGCCAAATTAGATCAAGTGATTGGATAAGAGGAAAGAAACACATTTTCAGTTCCTGTGTTTAACTCTTAAAACAATTGGCAATTGTGAGAAAATTAAAGTAATTTAAAATGACCAATTTTTCTTTGAACTTTGTCTGAAATAAATCAATTAGCTAGCAAACATTGTAATTTTGTCTTTATAACCCGCCCATAAAGCTTAAGGGATTATCCACAAGATTAGCAATAAGAAAATATTTTCATATCTATGTTGTGCTAAGTCCATGGTGGACATCTATTCATTATTCAGTCACTTTTACAGTTTATCTAATCCTCTCTTATGCTTTGTTGAGCTTATAATTACAAATAAGAATTTCTGGTGCCGCTTTAGCGTGAATCCTACTGATCAGTTTCTGCTTTAGCTTTTTAGAGTGTGTATCCTACCACCACATTTGTAAGGAACTGTCCCGACTTTTTTTTCTCGATATGTTTGACATTCACAATGTTTTTTTTTTTTATTTAAAGGATTCAAATATCTTGTTTTCTGATTTTTGAGTCAAATTACTTATTTTATAATTTTTTTAAAATTTTATAATACAACAATAAATGGTATCCCTGCTTCCGTTTTTGCTTTTCCCCTTTTACGTTGTTTGTAGGATACACATATGGTGGTAGTAGGTAGGATAACACGCTAAGTGGCACAGATTTCTTTTTTTTTTTTTTCTTCTTCTTCTTCTTTATAAATTGATGATTGGTAAGCTTCTTTGGATATGACACAGCTGAGATAATGATTATAATTTTTTTTTTTAAAGTGCTGAAAATAAACATAGTTCTAAACGCACCAACACAATGATTCTTTAAAAAATTAAATGTGTACCATTCGAAATAATGTATTGTAACAGAACTTAATATTGTACTACAGGATATTTTACGGGTGTATTTTTAGCAGATTTCTTTGAGGCATCCGGGTCTTGGTCATATGTAAATTTGAAACAAATTTCTATGCGCTCAGTTTGTAAACCATTTTTGCTTATTTAAAATCTACATGGCAAGGATTGAAGAATTTGAAAACTTTAATTTTGTAGGAAATTGCTTTGATTCATTTTCAAAAATGAAAATGAAGTTGGCAGTGATCGATGAGAAGACTGAATTTTTAACAGCTGAGGACGTGGAGCCCAAACTCTTAAAACTCTCTCCATTATTAAGTTCATCATATGTTTTTCTGTTTCTACCTCAAGTTTCAAATTATAAAGTGCATAATTCATCCGTAATTATTTGTCGGTAATTTGGTTGTCTCTGTTTTCAAGTTCAGTACTAATAGGAAATGACAATAAAAGTAAAACTAAAAGAAAAAACCTTATTAAACAGTAAACACTAAAGTAAACTGATTGACAAACTGCTCGAGAGAGAGAGAGAGAGAAAAAAAACTTGTTTTTTTTTTTTTTTTTTTATACTTATTTTCCAAATGAGGCATAGATTCATCTGGAAACTGTATAAAACTATCTATTTAGTGTGCTTTTTTTTTTTTTTTTTTTTTGCGCAACACTGGATATGGCTATCAATGAAGAAGCGTTTCATCCGAAATCTTCAAAAAGTTTACCGAGTAAGAATCTAGGCACGTAAAGGCCGGATAAAAAAAAAACTGTTGAAACAACGATAACAACTCAGATGAGTATATGCTGGTCTGAATAGCAAACTATGATTCCTCACTACTTTAAATTCCGACAAAATGATTTGTCTAAAATGTGAAGATTTATATTTGTATTTATTTGGTGGGTGGGGGTGGCGTTGGGAGCAAAGTTGTATAATTTACTTTTTTTTTTTATTACTTTTAGTTTTAGTTTTAAGTAGCTTCATAATTTTTTTTTTTTTTTTAAATAGAAGACAATTTTGTGTTTGAGCTTGGCGGTTAGTTAGGATAATTCTTTGTCTAGCATTATTTATTGTTAATTTCATCATGTGATCTCTAAAATTTGACTGGTTTTTAATTTTAAATTACTTTTTATTCACTGTAAGACAGACTTTCTCAGATCTAAGCTCTTCTTAGAGTAGTTGTTTTTGATAGTAAGTACATCATAAATAAATTAAATATTTAAAAATTATCTTCAAATCAGCGGTGTAAGTGGGGCTGCAAAGTTTCCGTTGTGATCAGTTAATTTATTTGGGGACCTTTTTTCTCCAGGGTATACCACTTTTTTAGCGTTACCTGGGACAAGCCTAGTTAATTAGAACGAGAAGAATGTGATACGTTTTACTTTTAAGAACACTCTTATTCACTGAATGTATTTCCCTCTTATGAATATTATTTTTGGATCATTGAAAGTAGTTTTTTGTCCAAAGAATTTTTGGTGTTGCGTAATCATTTTATTTTTAAGTTTTGTAATTTAGATTCATCTTTTAAAAAAAAAAAAAAAAAAGGAAGTCTTAAGGTTTTTAACTTTAACTGACATCGAAAATCGATGTGTTGAAATAGATAAAAACAAAATTCTTTACGTAAGGTTGCAGTTTTGTGCTTTCTTAAACTGTGTCCACTCCGGCAATCTCGCCTGCCGTTCATAGGCAATTTTTTTTCTTTTATTGACAGGAATTATTTGCTTGGGCCATTATTCTGCCACTTTCATTCACAAAGAGATGGAAATGGGACGGTTTCCCAAGTTACGTCGAACTATTTATTACCGACATTAGTTATTCTCTAGTATTACGTACTCAAAAGGAACACGTGGTGTGCGTTCGCACATGTGCATGCATTAAGTAAAGTTGTTTGTGGTGGACGTAATTACAGAACAAAAAACAAAAAAACACACACACTCTCGTTGTTTACATGCAGAAATAACGCTGATGATGATAATAATACCGGGGGTGGCAGGGTATTCATCCACAACTCATTATATTGCTACGAGCTATCGTTTGTGGCTCTAGCTTGTTCGTATCTGCCGTGCCTAAATACTGATTTGGCTTGGCTACTATTCACAAATATGATTTTTGGCTGGCTGTGAAGGCAAATGGAGAAGAATTATACGGTGCCCTTACCTTCTCCCCATTCGTCACGTTCAGTGGCAACAAATCGGTCTCTACTGCTGGGGGCATCACCCACAGCTCGACGCCAACAGTTGTGGTAAAGACAGTTGCTTTATTCTCTGCTTCACCTTAAATTGTGACAAGCAATGATTGACATAGACACAAGTACCTCCTAACTGTGTTTTAAACATTTTTTTAATGTACATTGGTTGGTATGTGAGTATGTCATAAGGATTTTTATTTGAGTTGAGTGACCGCTTTATGAAATCTTAGTGCGTGTGTCTCTTTAACCCACATCAACTTTTTTCTGGTTTGTTTATTTATTTTTAAAACCTTTACAGAGGCTTGTTTGGACCGCCTGTCGTCTGATAATCTTTACAGAATCACTCACTCGTTTTTCCTTAAAACAAGTGGATTGTTAAAAAAGAAAGTGACTGGCTACTAACGTGGAAGAACATTTAATTCGTGTCATTGGATAAAGAAAATTTACGTTCATAATCTACACTGCTCGACTCTTCTCTCGAGCACGCAGATTGATTTACACTAGAGAGAGAGAGAGAAGCAGCCGCAGAAGAAACAATAATAATATCAGTTACGTCGTCCGAGACATAATCTCACTCATGAATGGCATCTAAGAAGCTACTTTGTTTTGTTCTAACTTATCTTTACTTTACAACAATTATCTGTAAAGCAACATTACAAGAGCCGTTGTGTAGATCCTGGGCAACTTTCTTTCCACATCTCCACGCTGTTTCCTAGTTCTCTCACGTGTGTGTAAATTCTGAGGTACACATTTATCAACAGGTTAAAACATCGATTTTTACCAGACTCGGCCGCTATGATCGTTTCTCTGTAAAGTTCCCTCCGAGGATTTTTACCGCATTTTCGGGGGCGTCGAGTTGGAAGTTCTTATTGTTTTTCTTTCTCATCGTTTGTTACTCGCTGTTGGATTACTTGTTCGTTGTCATTAATACTTGATGTCGTTACGGTTTATCCCCAAAGTGACTACCATCTGTTTTCCTTCGGATACCCCTCTTCACTAATGTATCCCAGTCTGACCGTTCAGACTGTCCAGACGTGTTACTCTTATCCGAACATCCCGGCTGCCATAGGCTTCCAACTCTCCCCACAGCCGCTGTCCCCTACTCTCATTCCAGGGAGTCTCTCTCCGCCAATTCAGCGGAGAGCCATGTCCCCCGGACCTCAATGTGAAACTTCTCTTGTCAGGAGATCCATGTCTCCTCTTCCTCATTACGAAAGAATTACCTCCATCAAATCACCCCCTTATTTGTACAGACAGGATAGTCACTTCAGAAGAAAGATTCAGGAAAGGTAACAGAAAACACTTGCTTTCTTTATTCATTTATTTTATTTTACAGTTTATATAGAAAAAACGGATTCTACCAGCAATAAGTTGTTGGTAAACACTCAAGACTCCCTCCCAAAAAGGTATCCATCTCTTGAATTTGTTCAAACAATTGGTTAATATTTTTCTAAATCTAAAAACATTTTTTTTCATTGTTCTCTCATTTTGAAATATAATGGTAATTGCAAATCTAGGTATTCTTCATTTTTCAATATCAGATTATTCTCCTACTCCCTTTCAAAGGAGAAATTTACTCATAGCATTGTTGTGTTTTTACTCCTTTTTAATCATAACATGTTGATTTATCAGTATACAATGTGGATTACTTATTCTGAATAATCCAAAATAATCAAAAGCATTAGAACTCCAAATGTAATAACCGTATAACTGTTGAAAAGATAGAAAAGAAAAAAAATCCCTCTGTTACTTTAAATTATATTTACTTTGTGTGTGTGATGTCACATTCTCAAGTTGTTTCATGTTGCTATTTTATGCAAACAAAATAGCAAAACTTAAATGTTGGCCCTTATTTTATTGATTTATCTTGCCAATATCACCATCTATTATCCTACATGCACTTGTTCAACAGGTCAGCTGTGTAAATGTCTCTTCATAACATTTTAAACTTCTTGAAAAATAAGGTCTTGGTTTGCACAATGTTTTCTTTCCTTTTATATTTTGTTATGTATGATTTAGTTTGATAAATCAACTATGATTGTAGCAAAATGGAATTGAGGATTATATTCAGTAGCTGAATGAATTCTGTTCTATTGATCTTATTCTTTTGTTATCACCAAGGATGTATCCTATTGGTTTCTTTTCAATTAAACTGTACACTCATTCCCATTCTTTTGTATGTTGTGTAATAATGATTCATAAGCAAGCTCCTTCTAGCATATCACTACTCCTGGATTTGATTTGTGGCCTTGTGCCAGATTTAAGCTTAATAGATGTTTCTATTTCTTTGAATAATGGTGAAGGAATGAAGCTAATTCTTAGCTGATTGGGTGAAGTAGTGAAGGAACAAGCATGATTGGTTAAGTGCAGAAAAATAAAAATATTAAAAATTTAAGCATCTGTCTTATTTTCATATGTGTGTGTGTGGCATATTTTGGGCAATTTTTTTTTTTGTCATATTTACACTTCCTCTCCTTGAATTAAAAAAAGAAAAAGCTATTTCTTTCAACTTTGCGTGTACTGTAAACACTTCAGCATAACACTTGGTCCTGTTGATATTTGCATTTTACTATCTTGTTTGTTAGTTACTTTTTCTTGTATGCAGTAGGAAACACCAAACCTGATTTTGTCTGGTTCTTTTCACCTATTTTCTCTCTTTTTTTTTATGCTTTTTTTTTTCTTTTTTTCTGACATTTCTTTACTCTGCTTTTTGGTTTGTGTGAAAGAGGACTGGTTTCAAATATCATTCATTTTTTTTTTGTGTGTACAAAACCCCTTCCTCTATATTCTACCTCTTCTCTCTTGAAGCTGGAATAATAAGAGAATGCACAATAAACGCATTTTTGTATTGAACATTCTATTTTCTAATTCAAGCTCATACTTATTATTTCTGTCACGTCTGAACCTTTGTTTCCCTCTTATCTTTTTGAAGTAATGTCGGCAAGATAGACATTACTAGAATTAATCTTAAATCTAGAACAACCTGCTTCATTTTGATTATATATCTAACCACTATGTCATTGCTATCATCTGTTTTTTTTTTCTTACCTGATAAATGTTAATTCAGTAAATACTTGGCTTATGTTCAAGTCTGTAGATTATACATACTAAAATTACTTTTCACTATTAAGAAACAAGGAAATGGTACATTATTTTTAATTGTGTAATAAAGGAAAAAATTCTTATTCCTTGTTTTTGTATTAAGTGAAGGTGGCAGTAGTGTTTTAAATACTATTGTATACCTCTGTCTGTTACATTAGAAATGTATCCAATAAAATCAGTATCTTTATATAATTATTGAATATTAGGCTAACTATGAGCAAATCCTATACAAATCAATTTTTGCTAAAAGGTCTCTCAGTCTACTGGAATTACAGCCAGATTATGTATAGCAAATCAGTTTTACTGCAGTTTTTGATTGGTTTCTCTTAGTTCCAAAAGTTTAATAGAAAAATGTTTTTTCAAGAGTTAATAATGAAAAGGAACAGAAACACGTTATCCATAGAATGGTTTATGATATTAACTGATTAAGGACAATTTTGGGGGCAATGTCAAGATAATTGAATTTGAATAACTAGCTTATCAAAATTTAAAATGATTGACATTTCATTCTGATCTTCTAAAAGTATTGTTTGTTTTTTTGTTTTTTTTTGTTTTCATTTAATCAACTTGGCATTCTTTTAGCTTTTTCTGCTACTTTTCCTCATAGCTATTAGCTTTTTGTTTGTTTTTTTACTCTAAAATATCATCTCAATCAGCTTTTTCCCATTTATTGCAGAAATATTGAAGTAAAAATAAAATTTGTAATTCCTTTTTTCTTTGTTCTTTAAATGTGATCTTTTTAGTTGTTTCATCTGCTTATACTGACCTTTTTGCAATAATTGGCTAAATATGCTTTTTTTTTTTTTTTTTAAAAGCTTATCCTGCTTTCTTTTCTCATGTAGTCTTGGTTCCATATTTTGTGACTGAATATATTTGATCTGTTGCTGTTTCATTTGTAACAAAAATTAATGTTGGATTTCAAATTATTAATTGAAAATTGAATTTGGCAGAACAACTGGTTTCAGGTTGACATAATGAAGTCAAAATTTTGTCACCAATCTAATTATCATTAATGGTTTTTATTTTCTGATATTCCTTGTTTAATTTGGTTTTGAAATTAGTTTTAATTTCAGAGTTAGTTGAGAGATTAATCAATGTCAAGGTTTTAAAAAATCCTGCAAATTGATGTTCTGAAACAGCAGTATTTTCATTTTTACCTGAATGCTCTTAGTGATTATCTATCAGATATTTGTTTCTAACTTTTTCTAAACTTTGATTTTGATCAAAATCACCGGTGAGATTGATAAAATGTACAAAATATGAATTAAGATAATTTTACAAAATTTACATAAAAGCTGAATAATACCAGAGAAATATTGAGACTTTGAAAATATTCAAAAGGTTTGATTATTTATTGTCAAGAAATGGTCCACTTGTTTGAAATTTTCATCTTTAAAATGTAAATTGAACTTTCATGTTTCTGTTGATTTTTCTTAAGTTTGCATCACTGGAGAAATAAGTGTTTGAAAATCTTATTTTTAATATTAAACAAATTGAATGCCTGATCTAATATGACTACTTAGCATTATAAATCTTTTTAAGTTTCCACTTATTTGTCTACTTTATAAAACACTTTCTAATTTCCCTGAAGTTCATTTCCAAATAAGTGATAAAATAATGACATTGATTTTTATGGAAACATTTTAAAACTGTCAAATTAAGATTCAATATTTAAAGAAGCTTTTCAATTTTTCATTCACTGCTATTTTCTGTTATTTACAGTTGAGAATTTATGGGATCTTTGAAACAGATTGACATCAATTATTTTGTGAACAAGCAGGATTTTATGCTATAACTGCTAATTGGAAATGCTGGCTGGCATTTTATTAATGTGTTTTGTATTGAAGATTAATTCTTCTTTTCTATATTGTTAGTAAATTTCACCTGGTTTTCCTCTTATCAATAAAAGGTTAAAATATTTTAATTAAGTTCACAATGTTAAATAAAAGCAAACAGAAACATTAAAAAAATAATAATAATTTCTTGAAATAACTTTTATAAATATTTTCATTCTTTATCAATGTTAAGTTTTTCTTTTTCTAGTTTTGACATTTTGATATGTTCCAATAAAAAAGCATTCACTGCAAAAATGTTTTCAGATTTCTTTGAACTCCTTTTAAATGGGCACCTCCATTGAATTTTCCATACCTAAAGTTTAAAATTAAATTTTAAAAATGAAAAAACATTCCTGAAGATTTCATTTTAGTTTTAATTGAAAGCTAAATGATTAAATTTATTATTTCCAGTAAGTAAAATATTCTGGTGATTTACTTTCTCCAAAGAGTCTTGTTTTTAACTATTTAAAAAAAAAAATCAAAAAGTTTAATTTCTCAAAATTTTGTGAAATTAAGTGGGTGGTAACATATGTAAAAAAAAAATTCAAAAGTAATTTCATTTACTATTTACATTATTTGGACTATTGTCCTCATCTTTGTTGCCATATTTATCACAATGTTTAGGCCGTTGTATGCTCTGGCCTTCTTCAGGTGGCTGGAATGTTGAACTGAATCCTTTATTTCGCTCACTGGGGTAAACTGTTCTAGTTCCACGTGCCATGTCTAATGGATGTCAGTTATCAGTTATCTCCTTTTAATTCCCCTCTCCAAGTTCTCCACCGCCTTAACCAGGTATTGAACACTCTTCATGTCCTATCACTGGATCTAACTAACGCCTTTATCCACTGTGCCATGTGTGACCAAGTTGTGCGACCAAATGGCGGTACCTACTTTTAAATGTGTACTATAATTTGAGAGCACTATGGGTTTTTTTTTTATTTATGACCAAATTTACAGTTTTGTTGCTATTTATATATGGGTTGTTAAGTAAAAACAGGACACACATCTAGTTTTTCTGGGTTTTTTTTTTTTTTAAATGTGAACACTTTATTAAAAGTTTATTTATACTTTATTACTATTTTTTATACTAAAAGTTTATTTATACTTTATTTTTTTAATGTTAACACTTTATTAAAAAACAAAAACAATGATTTCCACCTATTCACCATCCCTGTCAACACAAGCTTACAATCTTCTACAGGTGATTTAAATAAAATGGGAGTATCTTTTTCTTTTTTTTTTTTTTTTTTGCTCTTTAAAACAATGAAATCCTTGGCTGTATAAGTCTAAATGAGCTGGGAAGAACATTTTTAATAAAAGAAAATGGCTGTGTATCTTGTATGGCTTTCTTTTTAGATTCTTTTTCTGCTAATTAATTTAAGGCTTTGTTTCAAAATCACTTTAAACTTATTCTTACCATAGCTGCTTGCTTGCATTCCTCTTGGAATATTTTAATCTGATTTTTTGTTTGGTCTATGAAGTTGCAAAATCTGATTTTGCTTGTATTAACCAGGCTTGTTAACCATATCCATAAGTCGCAAGACCAAAAAGAATTGGTTAATAAGCTATTACTGCAGTTCTATCAAAATTTTATTGGCAATGAAGAAAAACAAAAAAACTATGGCTAAAATATATTGTCATTGTAGCTGTCCTAGTGACATTTGTTGTGACACATTGGTATAGAATTCCTCAGGCAATTCCCATAATTGAAAAGTTATGAAATTAAATAAAAATGTATCTATGAACTGATTAATTAATTCCATGTTGCATGTTTTTGAATTTTAAAAAATTTTTTTTTATAAGGACAATCTTGGTCTAAAGTAAATAAACTTTACTTTGGATAATGCAAGGTCATATTTTACATTCTGTTCAACATTTAGTACATCATAATGAGATTATTTTAAAAAGTATAATTGCTAAAGAATGTGTTAGACTGAATGAATTTGTTTTTTAAACAAGTAGTATCAATCAGGCACAGTGGTGGAGTAATGGATAGCGGCATGGATTGAGGAATCGGAGAGCTGAGTTTGAATTCCAGTCAAATACATTATATTCACTTATATGTTAATACCTTTGGGAAATGTATGAATCTACTCCCCCCCCCCAGCTAAGGGTAAATAGCAGGACAGATTGGGTTCTATAACCTTGGATGGCAATTGGTCTACTGCAGAAAAAAATGGCAAACTACCGTGGAAAAGAATCTGCCTCGTTAGTCATGTATCGAAAGATACATGATCGCCTAAGCGTGTATCATGCATGGCACATAACTGACTATCAGAATTTACTAATAAAAATAGGCTTCTAGATTTGTAATATGTTTAAAACAGCATATTTATAAAATTACAAAGGTACCCTTTTTTTCTTCACTCTGCTATAAGTACACTTAATACTGTTTTGTGATATGGAATCATGTTTGAAGATTTGAAAGTTGCACAAAATGAAATCTTTGACTAATATGGGCTTTGATTTCTATATAGCTTCAGTTTCATATTTTAAACATTAGAATGGTTATTGAAAACAAATATTAACAAAACACTTTTTTCCTATCTTTGTAGAATCTAAAGCATTTTTGGCATTTAAGATCTTTTCAAAATTTTTTTTTTTTCTACTGTTTTTAGGATTACCAAAAATTATTGATATTGAAAGAGTTAAACACTTGCCAGAGGAATATTGACTAATATCAACTTGAAATAACTCTGATTCATTATCAATTTTCTATGCATTTACTGGTCAAGATCAACATAATCTACCTTTTTTAATGTTGTCAACTTTTTTTCTAACATGCTATATATTGACAAGTCTTGTTTGAATAGCTGCTGTGATTGTTGGTAACATTTAAAATCAATATTTGTTAGTAGTATTTTTTCATCTGTAAAAATACTTTTGCAAAGACGGTTTATAATGAGTTTGATAGAAAATTAATTAAAAAAATTTTTTCACTGCTTATTTTTCAACCCCCCCATTTTTTTCTTTCTCTTGAATTATATCTAATGAATGGTTTTCTAGAATCCATCCCGAAAAATCTATACATACTACATGCCTATATCTTAAAATTTGTATGTGATAATTTATTTGCCTATACTTTCCCCACATCCCTTTTTAGTCTAAGGGACATAACTGACTCGGATTAAACTACAACCTAACATTAATTCATGGCTATGTTCAACAGTATTTCTTTGTATTAGATCCTTTTTTAAATCTTTTTTCTCTCTTTTCTTTTTTCTCTCTTTTCTTTTTTCTCTCTTTTCTTTTTTCTCTCTTTTCTTTTTTCTCTCTTTTCTCTCTTCTCTCTTCTCTCTTTTCTCTCTTTTCTCTTTTCTCTTTTCTCTCTTTCTCTTTTCTCTCTTTTCTCTCTTTTCTCTTTTCTCTCTTTTCTCTTTTCTCTCTTTTCTCTTTTCTCTCTTTTCTCTTTTCTCTCTTTTCTTTCTTTCTAAAACAAAATTTTGTTAACAGCAAGTGGGATTCCTTAGCATTTTTGTGTTTGCTAAATCTTTTGATATAAATTTGACTTTTTAAGTACAAAATGTTTTTCTGTTAATGGATTTTTAGTTCTTTACTTTTTAATAATTTTCTGAGAATATTTTTTTCAGTTAGAAAATATTTATTTTGGTTTTGATGAGAAGTAGACTTGTACCAAGACATGATACACATGACTGAGTGGTTAGAATGTTTCCTTTCTGTCAGGACAGATTGGAGCTAAAAAGGACCAAAGAAAACAGTGCATAAGCTACCTGACGAGCTTGTGTAAATGGATTGTGGAACAAGGTTTAGGAGAGATAACAAATAGACAAAATTTATTAAGAGCTACAAAGACAGGAAATTGTGTAGAGCCATGATTGCTTATGTACTGTAGGGATACAGCATATAGAAGTAGTAGTATTGCAGTTATGTGTTAGTTTGTGTAAAAGCCTTTTCTTTCTGATCTGTGTAAAATGCAAAAAATTCATTCAACTCTTGAGCCTCATGATATTTTCATATAAATATTGGTAGACTACATAAAACAAGTTTTTATGATCGATAGAAATAAATTCCAAAATATTCTTGTATATAACTAATTGATTATCAAAAAGGAAAGTGTTTTAATATTTCAGTGTTTATTTACAGCACTATCAGACCAGGGCCATTTTTGTGATAATGTGAATAAGTATTGAAATATTCAGATTAACCACACTTTTTTGTTAACAATTCATATTGATTATTTCTAGGTATTTTTATTTTAATTTTTTTTTCTTTCAGTGTTTTGCAATTGATGGTTTAATTTAAGATTTTTTTAAAAGGCATGTTTCTACTTGCTCAGTAACTTATAATCACCTTTTGACTTATTCAAACTTCATTGTGAACTAAAATTACTAATTGTTAAATGTTAAAAATTAGATTTGAGTAAATGTCATTGTGATATCAAGTTGACTTTTAAAGTGTTGCTAATGTTCATTTTGTACTTGGACACTCTCTGTCCATTTTGAAAGTCACAGTTTATGCTGTCTTGTAGATTTTTACTTAGAGAGCTTGTGGGTTAGACAAAAAGCATATTTTGTCCTTGAAAGATCTAACTCCTTCCAATCCTTATTTTATTTTTTATTATTTTTTTTTACCATTAGTGGTTAATAAATTTGTTTGATAAATAGTGGTAGTTTATTTAGCTGTCATTCATTTCATGACTTCACTTTTTTTGCCTTTTTATTTTTTTCCTTTGCTCTCTTCATAAATCTTTACATTTTCTTTTTCTTTCATTTAATCTCACATATATACTCACAATGCATCTTTATTTTATTACTCTGAACATTATTTAAGATGGTCCATGCAAAGAACTTTTTTGCCTACACTCATTTTTGAGTTGTGGGGACAAGCCTAAAAAAATATATATATATATATATATATATATATATATATATATATATATATATATATATATATATATATATATATATATATATATACACACACACAAAATAAATCATGCTTTAACAAGTCATTTGTGTTGGAGTTTTTTATTTATTTTTTATTTTTTATTTCTAAGAGTTAACCCAAAAATTGATAGAATCTTTTGAAATTTCTTTTTCTTCTGTGAGTGTGTGCACTGAATATACAGACATTGATCTTCTGTTCTGGATAAGTGGTTTTGTCAGTTAAAGAAATTAAATAAAAGGACTTGAAATCTTAGATTCTGCCAATTTCACATTATGCTCTCTGGATTTCAGATGTTACAGAAAAAAAAAAGATATTTATTTAAAGGAACACCTGAGCTTTAGTAGTTAGACTGTACTTAGTTTAGTAATAGCAAATTCATATAAGGTTTTGAGTTGCAAAGGGAACAATTGCTGGATATAAACATATTTTTGTTTTGAAATAGGCTTTTTCAGTGATAAAGATAACTTGGTTGTAATACCAAGATTGTTTATTTTCTAGTAATAGATGTGAGAGGAAATGGTTCAGAGGTGAAAAGATTATGCTTTCTGAATTTTTCAAAGGAAAATTTCAGAGGAAACCTTGATATAAGGAAATAGCTTTATATGATAGGAAACAAGTATTGCCACAAGTAATTCATCTAACATGTGTGTTTTGTTATTATTGCAAGTGACTTGTTAATTTGAATGCCTGTACAATGAAATTGATTTTTATTAATCATCATATAGTACCCTTTTTTTTTTTTTTTTTTTTTAACCTTCCAACTTGCTGTTCCTTGAGCTCATGTTGCTAGGGAAGTTGGTTCACTGTTGTGCTAAACAATTTTTCTTGTCATAATTTATTTTGCACATTTATAAGTCTACCATTCCTTTGTCCATCAAATATTGCTGTTGCATTTTGGCAACATTATTGGTCCTGACCTGGCATCTCAGCTACAGTCACTTTCTCACTGGCATAGTATAGGTTCCCTTTGCCTTTTTTATAAATATTTTCATTGTAATTGTTCTGATAAGCTTTCCTCATTGGTACTTCAGCATCATAAATGTAAGTTCAGTAGTAGATTGGCAGCTAGGTGTCATTTCACTGTTGAAAATTGCTAGTCGTAACATTAAGTTCTATGTTAATAGTTTCTTTTCCTGTACTTGTTGTTTGTGTAACTTCTTGGGCTTCCTGCTTTCTGGTCAACTAGTCTTCCGAAATTTAAATGCAATGTCAATCGTCATGTTCTGTCTCTTTGAATCCTGTTTTTTTTGTTCTCTCTGTTTCTTTCACTGTCAGTAACCCTCTTGCATCCTTGTAGCTTTTTATTGCTTTGCTTGGGTTAAAGGTGATGAGCTATGAAAATGCTTCATTTTTGTGTTTGAAATAAAACTTTGACTTTTTTCTTTTTTACTTGAAGCATTTATAATTTGCTCCTTTCTTTTATCTTCTCCTGCATGTGCAGGAACAATTAATCTTTACACTGCTGGAAGATTCATACTGTTTGTTATGATGATGTGAAACAATGAGAAATTAAGTAGTGCAAATTTATTGATCTTTAAAAATATAGGCTTTTCTTGATCTAAAAGTTAATTTTGTTTAAAATAATAGAAATTAATTCTGAATTCTATTCTAAAGGACAATATCATTAAAACTTATTGAAATTATAATGCTGTGAGTTAACCTGACTTTTGAAAATAGCCAAAGTTATTTTGATTAAAGTGGAACATGAAATAAATTTAGAACCTTTATTTTTTCTAAGTTTGTCTCAGTGTACACTCAAAAATTTGACTATATTCTATTAATAAAAACTAATGCAAGAAATCCAAATCCACTGTTACTCTTGTACTTTGAAAATCCTTGCTACAAGTTTTTTAGAAAATCCATGTAAAAATATAAAGGTTAATATTCCTGAATGCTTACTACACTTGTTCATTATAAAAGCACTTAAATTATGAAAAAAAAAAAAAAAATGATCTCATTCATTATAGCAATAATTATTTTTTAAAAACAAAAAAGGAATACAATACATAAAATGATCTTAAAATAATTCAGATTAGTAGTACTTAAAACCTAACTAATGTATTGAAAATAATTTGAGTCAAGCAATTACAAAAATTATAGATTCAGTCTACATAAATTTCCAAAAATCTCTATCAATTTCTTGAATGGAAAATGGTAAAATGATTAACATTTTTTATTTTTTTTTATTTTTCTTTGATAAAAAAAGGAAAGGTGAAGAATTGACCTAAACTTTAGTATTTGGAATCTTCTGATTTCCAGCTTTTACTGGAAGATAACATTCTTAGTTATTACCTTGTCTTTTGCAGAAGGTTACTCTCAAGTATTAGGTTGCCAAAATGGTTTGTTTGGTTTTAATTAAAACAAAAGAATTTTTTATGTTTAGTATTAACTCTTAAACAACACAGTTACCATTTTGTTCCACTATCTTTCAGACAATTCCACAAATCCATCATAGAAATTTTTACATTTCTGAGTAAAACAATGTATTTTGCAGTCTTTAAGAAATTGAAATTCTTTCCTGTTTTTTATCTTCCCTTTTCCATTTTTTTCTATTTCCTATTTTTTTTCTATTTTTTTAAAATACAGAATAAATTTTAATCTGAACGTGTGATATCCTAATGAGATATTATGCTCCTTTTTCTTAACTAATTTCAAAGGTTTTTTTCTTTTTGCTGCTTTCATTTGGTCTGATTGGTAGCATTCTAATTATTTGGTTCTTTGAAATGTGCCCATAGTAGAGAACCTGCTATCCAGTCCTACCTTATATACATCTTCACCTTTTTTAATACACTTAGTAGTGGTTCATTTCACTTGTTCCACTTATGTTATAAAAGAACCATTTTTCATTGCCAGTCACACTTTGTTTAAATAATTGAACAGTATTATTAGATTTCAATTAAAAATCACATACAGGATTTCCTTCACCCATTATATGGAAACCACACATCAACATAATCAAACAGGTGAAAATTATTTTAGTACATGATTTGAATAATCTGTTTTGTTTTTAAAGAATGTTTAAATTTTATATCGGCTTCCTTTGGTCTACTTGACTATAGTGCCTCATCCAGCACCTTATCCATAAATTGCCCATCTCTCTCTCTTTTTTTTTTTTTTTTCTTTTTTAGGGGTGTATTACATCTTAACCTTTTTTAAAAATAAAAAGTATATGTTCAAAATGTTGCATATTTTCTTTCATCAATATTAGAATCAAATGAAAAAATTCCTTCTGATATGGCAACTGACACATGCACTAAGCAAAAGTAATTTTTTTTTGAATGACCTTCCTAAACTAAATGTTCCTAATGCTACTGAACAACAAAAACTGATGAAATATTTTTTTCAACTCAATAAATCTAATTTCATATATGGGGAAATTCTTGGATTTTATTCACAAAATAAAGATCTTTGTCGGAAAAAAAACATTTTCAACATATTTTGCATCATTGAAAAAAGGTTTTAGAATTCTTGAATTATTTATTGTTTTTCATGTGTTTGAATTTTTACATTTTGAAGTATTTAATCTTAATTTTAGTATTTAA